ATAAACTACTTTATTCTGTGTGTACTGAATGTATATAATACACGAGTTTTACTATTTGAGTTGAATTACCGAAATAAATGGACTTTTCCACAATATTCTAATTTATTGAGCTGCACCTGTATGTTTCTCCTCTGCTGGTTCTCAATCCATTTTTTTTGGGCCTCCATTATCTTCATCTCCAGTTTGGACACTCAATGACCTTTTCCTTTAATTGGTTTTATGGACATTCATGGAACCCTACTGATAAAAACACTGCTTTACCCCCTTCTCTGTAGTCAACCTAATGCCAAAAGTTACAGTTAACTCAGCTCCCCAAAAAAGCTCAAAAAGAAATGTTACTATTGTCACTGCAAATTCTTCCTTTAAATTTTCATGTATGTAAATTCTGATAATTAAGTTTAGTGTGAGCCTATACTGAAATCTTCAAGTGTGATGAAAATGCTTCTGTATATTTTTTGTCTTCCTCTTCAATAGCTAATTATTTCTAACTCTTATTAACCATTGAACAAGTAGCTGGCTCTGGTGGAAAATCCAAACAGTGAAATGAGTCAGGACTGAGAACACTAGGCAGACACAGTGGTCTTTTATTAAGTCTTCCTGTGATGCTAAAGTGAGGGTTCACAACCAAAAAAACAAATGTTGGCTTGCTTATTTCCAGTGAGAAGAGTGCCAGGATAAAGACAGAAGCACAGTGAAAGAACTACAACATGTTGTGTTTTCTAAAAATACATCATGTTTAAAAATCTGCAAACTAGGAATTACATGAGCACAACAAAATAAGTGACATTTGAATGGGCAGTGTGTACTAAACATGAAGATAATTTGCCTCCTAGAATTATTATTATATTAATGTAGCATTATAGTCTTGAATAACTTGAATGGCCACAATACACCGTTTTGAGACTAACTGGGTTAAGATAAGAGGTAATCAAACCAAATAGCCAAGAAATAATCTAAAAAATCTACTGTGTACATCTGACACTGCTGACTAATTATACTGAACTGAAAAACTAACTTTTTTAGTTCAGAACATCCTCTCAGAACTCGACCAGTGAAGTCAAGTGTCCTTAACATCTGTAAATGGGAGCCACAGGGATCAATTCTGGGTGTTTTTATTCACTTGTATAAAAACAATATCGCTGCAGCTCCACAGTGTAATATACATTTTATGCAGATGATGATCTTATATGCCACATGCTTATCTTTTAGCTGGTTTTAAATACTTTGCTTGACTAATTAACTTTATATTATGGTTATGGGGCTGACATTCAAAAGATGTGGTAGCTTGAAGGAAAAATCTTACTGGCAACACAAACTAACAAAACCAGACTGGAGGGTATTTCTGCTTATGAGTTGTCAGATATAATCCACACTAATTAGTTAACATTAAAAATCATTTCAAAATTGTATTTTTTTCCCACCATTACTAGCAATGCTAGTAATGGTGGGAAAAATACTGTGTCTGTGCTGGCTTACTGGCCCATGCATGGTTCATACAGCATAAGTGATGAACAGCAGTCAACAATTTCAACTGATGGCATAAACACTTTTAGTTCAGAGCTAATTCTTGAGTTTAGTTTTGGGGATATATGAACAGAAATTACCCTCACTTATTTTTAGAGCTAAAGGTACAATAAATCCTTCTTAAACTGTAATATGTGTATATCAGCGAGAGATGTAAAATAATTCCAGTTTATTCCAACTTGACTCATATTGTCATGGTGTCAGCCATTAATTTGCATTAATCAGTGTCAGTATGCACAAACTACTCCTAAACTCCTTTCCAATTTTGTGTCTAAGTATTAGATAGATTCAAGTGATTCATTAAATTAGGTTGCACCATTAGAACTTTAGGAATATTTTAGCTGGATGTAAACTGTATGCCAGGAAAGAACAGTACCATCCAGTCAAAAGCAATTATGTAAACAGAAGGTTTATGATGTTCATGGCGGAGGTGGGTGGAGGTGAGCAGAGTGTAGCGAGCAGGGAGAGGGAGGGCTGGGCGCCATGGAAGCCTCATGCTAGTGTTAGCTAAATTTTAAATGAATACAAAGCTTTAATCAGGTTAACATGAAATTACCAACACAAATGTAAACGCTCTGACAGAGTGAGACGATGCAAAACAAAACCTTTACAGTTTAAGTGGGCAACTATCATCCTCGTATCAATGCCAATGATGCAGACTTAAAACTTAATTCTGCATCATTTAATTCTGATTAATCTCTGTTATATTTGAATGCACTTTGATTTGCGTTCCCTCTCTCTGGATGAGTGCACACTGCCCATTGGGTGGAAAAACAGAAATGTGACATATACTGTAGATGCTGGTGTCATGCTCAGTAGAAATGGCTAAAACTCTACCTGGTGACTGCTCTAAATATAAAAACATTAAGATACATACCACTGTGCTGAGTATATCTAAAATGCAAAACACACAAAAATGAGACAAAGATGGGAATAAATTAAGAAAAGATCATTTCATCATGTCTCCTTGGTCCTGATAAAGTCCCGTTCTAGTGACACAAGCACTACAACAAAATTAAAAACAACAACTACAATTAAAACAACCAAAAGTTGCAAAGATCACAACAAATGATTAAGTCAGAATTATAAATAAGATAAAAAGAGTAATAACCCCCTGGTTTGATAAAATCAATCTTTTTATACATGAATTGAAAAAATATCTTTTCACATTGACTGGGAAAATAAAATATTCATTGTACAAGAAATGACACCAAGCCTATGCTAAACTTTGAGAGGGATCCTTGAGTTCTGATGTGTACAATCCCAAGAAAAAAATCACCCACAATCCCTTTGTTAATGCTTTTTGGAACACATTGTTAAAAAAAAACACTTGACTTCCAAGTTATCGATAACCAATTTTGATTGTAAGAAAAGTTGTAGAAAAATAAAGTACTGGTAATCTTAAGATTAAAAGACCAAATGCCCTTGAAAATTTTCTTAAAATCTCCAGACAAATTGGAGAGGAATAAATCCACAAATGTTGTACTTTATTTCATTTCTCTCTAAAAAAAAATGTCAGTCCAGAGTTTGATCTTTTGGCAGTAAGTGGAACAAGAAGGGGATTGTGGGAGGGTTCTTGGGAATTTTCTGGTGACTGTCTCCTTCAGCCCAAACTCCATGCTCATAGAGGTTAAGGTTCATACTGTAGTTCACCACTGAAGCTCGCTCGCTCTGATGTGGTCTGATGGGTCGAAGGCAGTGCAGTCGGGTGTGGTGGCTGGGAGTACTGAGGTAAAATAATGTGATGCAGACACGAGTAAAGAGGAAGAGTGGGGGCTGCTGAGACGGTGAAGCACTGGCAGATTCAGAAAGAGATGGCCACAGAAAGAGAAAAAGAGAAGGATATTTTAGTGTTTTTAAACAAATTAAATGTTACATATAAATTGATCAACTGGCATCAAAATAACACTGAACAGTAAATGATGATAATGTTCTCAGCAGTAAATTCTCAAATAAAGTAAATCAGGTATCGGATCAGACAGACTCCCAAACAAATAAAGGTCAAGAAAATAACTTTAGTTGTGGTGGATAGCCTGTGATATTCACATGCACATTTCAGACCCCTTTAGCTTCTATAAGACTGATCTTATAAACCACTTCTGGGGGAAATGCTGAGTTATACTGACGGCAACTTAGAGACTAGAAAAAGTAAGAGAAGAGAGCGTTTTCAGCAGAGTGGTGAGTATGACATGACTGATTTACAAACACAGTCATGCTAAGTTTGCATTAAGAGCACACCAGAACAGGAGCTGATCAGAAAACAGGGATGCTCTACTAAGATATGATAAAACATTCTCTTAGAAACAGGGAGTCGTGTCTCTAATGTAAGAATAAAGGTTTGATTTCTCCTGCAGTTGAGGTCTGCTGCTAATTATGGCATTAGGAATTGATCATTTAAAAAATGCTAAGTTAAACTGAAGGTCATAGTGTCAAGGTGAGATGACACAAAATCTGGATTTTCTATCCACATTTTTAAAATTTATATCACGTCCCCGGTTTGATAATAAAGTGCACTCGCTAGGCCCAGTGAAAAGAATTCATGAACTGATAATTCAGGGCAAAGACATTAGTATGATGCTGGCAAGGGTAAAAATAGATCCCCTTAAAGCAGTACAGGTCTACTTTATGTTTATGAAAACCAGGAGGGAAGCACAGCAGCTTCTGTTAAGAGCATAGATCTATTGATTTGTTCAGATCCATGGGATTTACATTTTAGTCTAAGCATAACGTTGCCAGGCTGAAATGAAATGTTTCTGCATATAGAGCAGTGCAATGAACCTGTCGCTGCTGGAGCAGTGGAACATAAACTCAGGAATAAGGCTGTGCCGAGGCTTCACTTGAAGCGAAGACACTGACGCTGACTGAATACACTATTAAAACAGACAGGTACAGTACATAGGTGTGTTTGGACCAAACAGACCCCTGCTCCTCCCATACAGGATTGAATCCTTTGCTGAGCTAGTGCAGCTGCTTTTTTTCTACTTGTAAATTTGCAGTGCTGACAAGTAATGCTACTGAGTTTGCCTTTGTCAGTACAGAGTATGCACTATGAAATCTAAATGGTAAATTTATTGCCTAAATATCAAAACTAAATTTGGTTACATAACGTGTTGAAACAAATTGTAGTTTTGGCTCGTCCTGTTGCCATCGACTACTGGTTGATGCACATGCTTCTGGGACACTTGTGTTAACACACACACCGTCTCCCTAAGCCTCCTGGATAAATGTGGACTTGGAAAAGTAAGTGAGCTGTGACAGTTACACATGTCCACAAGAACACCCCCTCACCTCCATCCTTTACAGACAGACTGGGGCATAGGGGCAGTGTGTTTACATACCAGCCTGTCAGCATGTTAAACAGCACCAGACTCCCAGCCTGGACCCATCAACATCACATAAACAAGGCCCCAATTAAAGCCACATGGGTCCCATTATTTGACATATCTCGTGCTGCTGGGGCCCCGTTTCATGCTGAAACAGCTCACTGCTACCAAGCAGCCCACATTCACACACTTATATGTGGGGTGTAGTGCATACGCATTTTAATTTGCATGGTGCTTGTGTATTACAGCAAAGTGAATAATTTAGCAGTGACTAAATATCATTTAAGTCCAATAATGACCTGCAGTATGTAATGTAATTTTCTCATGATTATCACCACCAGTATGTTTGCATCATTCTATTTAGGCTCCTTGTAGCCAGTAACTGGTTTGATTGGTATAATTAGTGTGGTGGCGTGTGGCGTTGTCTCATCGAGGCTCATTATGGTTCATTTAGGCCAAGGCCATATGCTTAGCCACTTTAGTGAAATCTTGCCACTAGGCTTTGTCTATAGAAAAACCCCCAGGGTCAGACTTACTAAGAAAATAACATTGCATGATCATGTGCTACAATTTCCAATGAGTTTGCAACCACAACCTGCATGTGCTCCTGGACAGGGACGAGTCAGGTGCCACTATATATTCACTATGCTCAGAAAAGAAATGACAATATAGTAATCTTGATTCCATGTGGTTCAACTGCACCAGAGAAAAGCAGTTACACAAAATGTTAGGCTAAAATGATGCTACAATCATTATTAAGACAGGGAGAGAGAAAGAGAGGTTGAGGCAGAGCATCAAGTGGAGGATTTGGATGTTTACTGCAGTTACTACAGCTAAATGCCCACTTAGAATCTAGGTTATTTAGTCTAAATACAATTAGTATTACTCTAGCTGAATCCATAATTAACCCCTGGTAACATGTTTCCATATTATTTGTGCAAGCATCCCTGAAATGCTGCTCGGACAGAGGTGCTTCTAGCAAACACTCGCTGAAATGACACCACAAGTGTGACTCCATTCTGCTGTTTCACACACAACCCATTACATCTGGTGTATAACATGCAATTGATTCTTGATCCAATGCTTGATCAAACCTTTTCTTCTGTCCTATTGGACAGGAATCCCCCAAATATACAAAAAAATGTTTTTCAGATTGCTAAAGACTTCCTTATTATATCTACTATTATAACTTTAATCAAAATCTGTTGTAGACTAAATTCAAAGTGATGGAATTTCCACTATGGGCCCACCTGGGGCTGTCATCATCAGCTGTCTCCACTGCTCATTTATCACATCTCCATTAGCTTTAGTACTAACACACTGGTGTTTAACAATTCAGTTTGTGTCTTCTCTATCAGATCCAGCCTTCTGGACATGGGATCACCGGGTTACAAGAAGAATTTTTACAACACTGTGGTCTTTTTTTATTTGCCTGGCCTGTCAAAACAATTTAAACTCCTAATAGTAGTACTTTTTTCATTTCCTTTAAACCAGACAGTCCATCCAACATTAATACCACCTAGCTCACTACTCTTGTTAAACCCAGATCATAAAGATTCACCTCTGTTTTAGATCACTCACTGACACTAGGAATTTGATCTTGTCTAATTTTAAAGACAATGAGAGCAAGAACATAGGACAATAAAATACCATAACCATATGGGAGCACATTCTACATTTGGTTGAGTTCCCTTCCTTGCATACCAGATAGTCAATACAGATTCTCCTTAGGTCCATTATAATGCTAGGGTAGCAAAAATCTCTCCTAGCACAGGTGGGTTTGGGGCGCTCACCTCCCAAAAGATCAGTCTGTCTTACTCTGGAGTGATCTCAGTTTCCTGGTGGACAACCACTTTGGTAACAGACATATCTGGGTGCTGCTCTTTTGCCTCTTTAATGGCCTGAGCCAAAGCCTGAGGAGTGAACAAAGGACAGGTTTGTTATGTAGAAGATGATTCATAAGGTAGATTAAAATGATGTTCAAGCAGAACGGATTTACTTGACATATGAACACAATTGCTTTATGAGGTCAATTAATCCTAGACATATTTGCAGTTTCTTAAATCGGAACATATGCATTTCAAGCAGAAATCTGAGGCAATATATGAGCCAATACACATTCAAAACACCTACTTACTGCAGAGCTCTGAGGAAACCAACATTATCCCAACATCATTCGGCATGAGGAGTGAAGCATCATTTAGATTTCTCACCTTGTCATGATCAATTTCAGTGTCTCCAGTGATGACGATTCTTTTCTCAATGCGAGTCTCAGAGATGCCTCCTTTCACCGTCTACAACAGGCACATGACACAAGCTAAAATACAAGCTAGTAAAACCATACAAAACAAAATCCATCTTTACCATCCCTCTGAGAGAATTTCAGATGAGAACAGAATATGCATTAGCAGGGAAACCAGATAGGACTTCATCACCCTTTAAGAAAAATGTGGTGTCCTTCCCTGACAGAAAGTTAGTAAGAAGGTGGAGCTACTTCCAGACTTTAGGAGGGAAAGTGGGGGACTCTTAATATTAATAAATAGAAATAATATCTGTTTACATGATACATTACCAGTCACAGGTTTATGGCTAAAGAAGCAGATAATATAACAACCAGGACAAGTCTCAAATTAAACCACATAGTCAGACATGGAGGTGGATGCCGGACCAGCCAGTGGAGACAGAGACACTGAAACTCATCGCTCTGTATTTGAATTTGAATATAAGCATTTGTATTGACACATACCTTATGCATTTATTGAACTGACAACCTCAGTATGTAAAAAGCCAACAAATGTCATATTTAACTCCCAAAAACAAGATAAAGAACTTTTCCTCATTTTCACAGATGATGACTGAGCAAGTCAAGGCAGCTTTATGTACAGTATATAGCATATTTCATACACAGAGGCATGTCAAAGTGCTTTACTGTACATAGGCAAAGGAAAACAATACAGTGCCTTGCGAAAGTATTCGGCCCCCTTGAACTTTGTGACCTTTTGCCACATTTCAAGCTTCAAACATAAAGATATAAAACTGTAATTTTTTGTGAAGAATCAACAACAAGTGGGACACAATCATGAAGTGGAACGAAATTTATTGGCTATGTCAAACTTTTTTAACAAATAAAAAACTGAAAAATTGGGCGTGCAAAATTATTCAGCCCCCTTAAGTTAATACTTTGTAGCGCCACCTTTTGCTGCGATTACAGCTGTAAGTCGCTTGGGGTATGTCTCTATCAGTTTTGCACATCGAGAGACTGAAATTTTTGCCCATGCCTCCTTGCAAAACAGCTCGAGCTCAGTGAGGTTGGATAGAGAGCGTTTGTGAACAGCAGTTTTCCACAGATTCTCGATTGGATTCAGGTCTGGACTTTGACTTGGCCATTCTAACACCTGGATATGTTTATTTGTGAACCATTCCATTGTAGATTTTGCTTTATGTCTTGGATCATTGTCTTGTTGGAAGACAAAGCTCCGTCCCAGTCTCAGGTCTTTTGCAGACTCCATCAGGTTTCCATCCAGAATGGTCCTGTATTTGGCTCCATCCATCTTCCCATCAATTTTAACCATCTTCCCTGTCCCTGCTGAAGAAAAGCAGGCCCAAACCATGATGCTGCCACCACCATGTTTGACAATGGGGATGGTGTGTTCAGGGTGATGAGCTGTGTTGCTTTTACGCCAAACATAACGTTTTGCATTGTTGCCAAAAAGTTCGATTTTGGTTTCATCTGACCAGAGCACCTTCTTCCACATGTTTGGTGTGTCTCCCAGGTGGCTTGTGGCAAACTTTAAACAACACTTTTTATGGATATCTTTAAGAAATGGCTTTCTTCTTGCCACTCTTCCATAAAGGCCAGATTTGTGCAGTATACGACTGATTGTTGTCCTATGGACAGAGTCTCCCACCTCAGCTGTAGATCTCTGCAGTTCATCCAGAGTGATCATGGGCCTCTTGGCTGCATCTCTGATCAGTCTTCTCCTTGTATGAGCTGAAAGTTTAGAGGGACGGCCAGGTCTTGGTAGATTTGCAGTGGTCTGATACTCCTTCCATTTCAATATTATCGCTTGCACAGTGCTCCTTGGGATGTTTAAAGCTTGGGAAATCTTTTTGTATCCAAATCCGGCTTTAAACTTCTCCACAACAGTATCTCGGACCTGCCTGGTGTGTTCCTTGTTCTTCATGATGCTCTCTGCGCTTTAAACGGACCTCTGAGACTATCACAGTGCAGGTGCATTTATACGGAGACTTGATTACACACAGGTGGATTCTATTTATCATCATTAGTCATTTAGGTCAACATTGGATCATTCAGAGATCCTCACTGAACTTCTGGAGAGAGTTTGCTGCACTGAAAGTAAAGGGGCTGAATAATTTTGCACGCCCAATTTTTCAGTTTTTTTATTTGTTAAAAAAGTTTGAAATATCCAATAAATTTCGTTCCACTTCATGATTGTGTCCCACTTGTTGTTGATTCTTCACAAAAAATTACAGTTTTATATCTTTATGTTTGAAGCCTGAAATGTGTCAAAAGGTCGCAAAGTTCAAGGGGGCCGAATACTTTCGCAAGGCACTGTAACAGCGTTAAAAACAATAAGCATTAAAACAAGAATAAAATACGGTAAGACAAAATGATGGTAAAAAATACATAAAACAAAAACAAATAAGGTCTGAGGGACAATTATTTAGCAGTCACAGTGCAGAAAGTGCAGCACAGCAACCTGCCAAACAAAGGCCCAGGAGAACAGCAGTTTTCAGTTGAGACTTGAGGTAGCACAGTTGGGGCACATTTAAGGTCCTGGTTCCATCTGTGTGTAGCACAGTAGCTAAAAGCAGCTTCACCCTGTTTGGTTCTGAGCCGAGCTTCTACCAGTTCACTGCTTTGTAGGGATCTCACAGCCCTGCTGGGTTTGGAGTATTCAAGGAAGTCAGGGTCCATATTCACAGCATCCTAAGCCCATAGAGTGATGAAATTCTAAGAAAAATCTTAGAATTGTGACAATTTCAAGAAATTTCCCCTTAAAATTTGGACTAAACCCCAGTAAAGAAAGTTATCCACATAGCATCTTAAGCCCCTATAAGAGCTCCTAAGGTGAAAATTAGGACTTTTAAGAGGCATACGAGTCTCAAAAAACTACTTAAAAAGAATTTAAATCAACTAAAGGAACTCTTCCAATGCTCTGTCTTACAGTTTTAATAAAGAATCAGGAAGGATAGGTGAGCCGGACTTTTCAGAGCTGGAGCTTCCGTACAGGTACACACATTCTAATGTCATTTGATTTTATAAACCCCAACTTTTCTGTGTCCCATTTGTAATACATGAACCATCTGGAGGTTTACATTCTGAAATGTGGGCGTGTACAGTTATGGTTAGTGTTATGGAACTACAGTTCCAATAATGCTTTGGAGGATGTTGAGAGAAAGTATAATGTTGCCATAGATCCAGACATGTTTTACATTTTGGAAAATGGGTACCATCAAAAGTGTGCAGAAGCAGCAGTTCTCGCTGCTGTGTACCTCCAGCAGTGTACCTCTGGATTTATAGACAACTATCACTGGATTACACTGATACTGAAGAAAACAATGTCATAATTTGAAGACAAGTTTTGGAGTCAGAAGGACCATCTTCGTTACTATGATTTCTAAGCTGGAAGAACACAAAGTTCAAGTGGAATGTCATCCCAATTAAAATTACAACCATAATAAAAGTGAACAAAACCTGAAACAAAACAGAAACAAGCAGCATTTCAAGTGTGTTATTGTCTCAAAACCTGAAGATCTAAATTTGGTCACTGAGCTTTTTCTACCTATAACTTCAGTAACAGATGCTCATTTACCTAATACAGCGTTCATTGCTTTCTTTTCTCTCACCAAAAACAATGAAAGAAAACACTGAAAATGGCATTATGGCACTGCCTTGGCAATCTATCGGTGTCAGGGCGGCAAAAGTTGTCTTTTCTTTTGCAATGTTAACTATTTAGATTGTGAGGTTACTACAACAGCCAGTCACTCTTCAGAAGGTTGGGACCACAGCCAGAGAGATCTATCACAGCAAGATGGCTGCCTGGGGCTGTTAGTGAAGTAAGCACACCTTGGTGATCTGGGTGGTGGTTGTGGTGCTGATGGTCTCAGAGGTGATGGTTTGGGCACTCAGCAGCACACCTGACTCCTTCTCTGCCAGGCTGTCCACAGGCTGTGGGAGAGGCACCTTGTAAGAATCTCAACACACTCATCAGTTATTTGTGTATTTTCTTATTTTTGTAAAACTTTTAAAAACATTGTGCTCATATGCGGAACTGGGTAGTGGACCTCAGGATCGTTTGTAACCAACTGAAACGTGTCTTAAGCTGGTATCGCATGTTCATCAGACTGGTAATCTTACTAGCTTACAGTATCCTCACTCCAACATTTTCAACTTTCAGTTGTAGGTTATTCTGATTAAGTTGTTGTATGACTGCTCATCTTTAAACTACTTTAATAATGGAGAATTTTGGCTTGTCCTTTAAAACAGCTTAGTAGAAAAATGTTTATATGTCTCAAAATAATTAAAAAAGTACTTCTGATATTGACTGACACTAAGGCACTAAGGCGTTGGAAATTAGGCAACACACATTCGCCACCCACGCACGGCGCCACGCGTTTGTTGTGAGATAGGGCCCAATGTGTGGAAAGTAGTTAATGGTGATGGAATCAATTTCAGATTAGTTTATTAATACTGTATGTACCACTGAAGCATTATTGCGAAGTCCTATCAAGGCAAATTAACTTTATGTATAGTATATAGCAAAATATCACAAATCAGCCTCAAGGGGTTTTCCAGCCTGTACAGCAACAACATCCGTGATCCCTGAGGTCTTTAGTCCCAGTCTTAGCCCACAGTTTATTGTTGCCTCTGGAACATCTGGTGAGTAATATATGCCAATTTCTACAAGCTGAAAGAAGCCATGCATATATTAATAAAGTACAGTAAGCTAGGCTAGTGAATGGCCTGAACTGAGCCTAATTTCAACAAAATGGCAGAGTTCAGGCTAGGGTCAAACTTTCCAGCTGGGGACAGTCCTCTCGAGTATGTACAGTATGTATGTCAACATGTCTAAAGCTGTAATAGTAATCATGCATTGCATATAAAGTTAGGTCATTTAGAATCAGATCCTGTAGATACTTTGTGAAATATTATTCCTTTGTGTGCAATTTCCAGAACTGCCCTCACCTGTGCTGACTCGTATGTGATGGTCTTAGTCTCTGTGTGAACTAAGGGGATGTTCTTGTAGCTCACAGTTCCTCTCAGGGAGTTGGTGACATCTGAGATGGTGATTGTCTGGGTCTTCAGCACAGGAGGCTGGAGGAATCAGATAAAAAGCAACAAAATCTCTATCAAGACAAGTCAACTGTCACATATTAACTATCATAAGCATGAAATTTCACTACTAACTGCTTCCATATTCTGGACAGAAGTTTGTGCTGCACTGTAATGTAATTATAAATACTGACTGCTGAGGTGACTACTAGTTTTGCATTTGTTAAAAAGGCACAGCATAAATACAAAATAGGAAATTTAGCTTGTGCATAAAGTTCCTTTATTAACTATATTATATATATGGACTGCAGACAATGAGTTAAGGTTTATTTCACAAACAAATCCTTATCCAAGTGCATTTAACTGGAAGCCTATTTTTGTTTATCATAGTTTATGTTCATATAAATCCCTGAGCAGGATGAGGTGTCACATTTACTCAAGCATTAGTTGCATTAGCTACACAGACAGGGCTTGTTATGTGTGATGAACCTGAACTCTGATATGGAGAGGTGCATGTGTCAGTAGCATTTCTTTTTCATTACCTGGGCTGTGAAACTGGGTAATGCTAACACGTTAAGCTGTCACCATAGTTAAGCTGAGGTTTCACTAAGCAGTAGTAATACAAGCATCACATCCATGTGCCTCTTTATTGCTGTATCTGTAGCTTTTCAGAGTCCCTGGCCACCAGAGACAAGAGGTCAGAGGGTGAAAACAGTCCCAATTATGATACACTCAATTAAAAAATAAATAAATGCATATTTTTAGTGCATTGCTTGTCTTTCAGACAAAAAGTTGTTTCATGCAGGAAGCCAAGAGAAGGCAACACATAAGATTTGTTCATAGTTTTCTAAAACTTGCCTGGAGATCTTTAACAACGTCAGCCTAATTGGAGTAGTAATCACTGTGAGCAATGCTACAGAACCCAAAAGTGAGCTGTAAAATCATACAACCAGTTTAGATCAAGAAACATTACTAAGAAGCATTTAACAGGTGTAATCATTGCACATGTGCTGATTCTCTGGTACTTGAAATTCTTTATCCCAGAAACCACATTGAGGAAAAGATCCCAGGAACAATTTTTACTGGTATCTGATTTCCATGAATTAAGTCCCTTTTCCACCACCTGGTAACAGCTCGACTCGACTTGGCTCTACTGACCTTATTTGTTTTTCCATCAGTCAAATGTTGGGGATAGCACCTGGTACTATTTTTGGTATCACCTCCGTCGAGGTTCCAAGCAAGCTGAGGCAATACCAAACAGTGATGTGTAAACATTGCAGACTACCGACTGGCCAGAGAAATTTGTCACTACTACACAACTATTTTGCCACCAGTGAACCATAATAGCAGCTGCCACTGTTCTCACACAAGTGTCACAGAGGGTAAAATTTATGGTGACAGAGGCCTGGACCGTCTATTGCTATATAAAATAACCATTATGTTTTGTGAACCACCACATTGTATATCTTATCACGTAGCCCATAGGTTAGTGAATGTGATAATATGAGCACAGTGGCTACAGCTATCTCTGCTAAGTAGAGCTAGCTAGATGGCACGTTAGCAGGTCATCATATCTCCGAAAACACCTGAGCAAATTTGTAAGTGGCATTACATGGATAGATTGACCACATGCTCAAAAATTAAATGGTTAGTTAACCACCTGAAAACGATCAAAATGTAATAAACTGGCATAGTAACAGTCCTAGGATGAAAATTATAACAGCTTTGAACCTGCTGTCACCAGCATGGGCTAGCAAATTCACGGCGGTTTCAGCGTTGCTGTGACAACCAGCGACACTGCAGTGGGACCATGTACAGTGGAAAACGAAACACCTGGTACCAAAAGTCAGTAGAGTTGAGTAAAGTCGAGTTGAGCAGGTAGCAGGGGGCTTTACACACGTCCCCAGCAGTGAATAAACATATTCTGCAAATTTATAGAGAAACTACAAGAAACTTATTTAGAAACTTTATTCTGTATTTATAGGAATACATGTAATTTACCGTGCAAAGCATTCAAAGTTACAAAAATAGTTTAATCACAATAATGACAAAAATCACCAATGTTTTTTTATGATGCCAGGGCCGTATGGACCTTTCAGCAATAAAATCAATGAGGTTTCCTCAAATGGCATTTAATTTTTTACAGCCACTACAAACTCAGAGCAGAACAGACATAGTGGCCTTGTTAGGGAAGTAGAATAAAGGTATGTGTGTTTCATTGCCCAAATTTGTTTGTTTGTTTCTCTCATTTGCTGCAGACCCACTTGCTTGTCAGTTAGACTACTCCTACCCAAGGCAAGTACATAATACACAGCAACCAAAGGAGTCCCTGCCTGTTTAGCTTTTTCCGCATTTGTAAAAACCCCTGCTGGAACATGCTTTTCAGATTTGTCTCTATGACGTCATACAAAATGACGCAGCAGTTCATTTCCTACCTAAATCCGTTTTGGTGCTACCTGTCTGCCACTGCACTGTGATTGCAGACAACCAGCAACATGGCACAGCTCAGAGGAAAGTACGGATTCTGTTTGGTTGTTGGTTGCACAAATGAGCACATAAGTCTCTACCTACGTAATAATTAATATACTGTAGGTGTTCACACACTCACCAATAGGCTGAGGATATTTGCTGAGCATGCACCGTCTTTAATACATGTATTTAGTTAAATAGCACTGTTGAATAAGTAGACACATTATAGCTTGGGTTATGTCATTAAACATGATTCTTTTCCAGTTTATTTTGACCCAGCAATTCTTTGTTAACACGAGCAAATAGTCAACATTTTTTTCTGGTATCAGTTTAAGCATTGTTGATACTGTAGACACAGCATTCCTAAAACTTTTAATTATGTTGAAAATTTATAATATATAGTATCAAATTCTTAGAAAATGGTTTAATGATGCCAAAAAACTAATTGATACACATTGAAATATTGGTGGATTAAATCAAAAGCTGAAAAGGTTGTGAGGAAATGGATGAAATGTGTGGTAGTACCCGCACTCTTGGAAGTGTTAAATTTATTCTGAGCCTTTTGGGATGCTCCTTTTACTACGAAGCCACGCTGTTGTAACACGTGCAGAATGTGGCTTGGCATTGTCTTAGGGATGCCCCTGAAAAAGACGTCGCTTGGATGGCAGCATATTTTTCTCCAAAACCTTTATGTAGTTTTCAGCATTAATGGTGCCTTAATAGATGTGCAGGTTACCCATGGGCACTAACACACCCCCATACCATCACAGATGCTGGCTTTTGAACTTTGACCTCATAACAGTCTGGATGGTCCTTTTCCTCTTTAGCCCGGAGGACACGACGTCCATGATTTCCAAAAACAATTTGAAATGTGGACTCGTCAGACCACAGCACACTTTTCCACTTTGCATCAGTCCATCTCAGATTAACTCAGGCCCAGAGAAGCTGGCGGCGTTTCTGGGTGTTTATGTGTGGCTTTCACTTTGCATGGTAGAGTTTTAACTTGCACTTATAGATGTTGTGACGAACTGTGTTAACTGACAATGGTTCTCCAAAGTCTTCCTGAGCCCATGTGGTGATATCCTTTACAAAATGATTGTTTTTAATGCAGTGCATGTGAGGGATCGAAGGTCACGGGCATTCAGTGTCGGTTTACGGCCTTGCCGCTTACGTTCAGCGATTTCTCTGGATTCTCTGAATCTTTTGATATTATGGACTGTAAATGATGAAATACCTAAATTCCTTGCAATTGTACATTGAGAAACATTGTTCTTAAACTTTTGGACTATTTGCTCACGCAGTTTTTCACAAAGTGGCGAAACACGCCCCATCCTTGCTTGTGAATGACTGAGCCTTTTGGGATGCTCCTTTTATACCCAATCATGACACTCACCTGTTTCCAATGAACTTATTCACCTGTAGAATGTTCCAAACAGAGTGGCTGTATTGTGGGCTTCACATTTTCACCTTCACATTTTCTATACAAACCCACCTACTACACACAGTAGTGAGCTAGAGTTACAAAGGAAATTAACATTAACTGCATTGAGTGCACTTCCATGAACATGATCAGGCTTGTGAAGAATCCTGTTTTTGTGTTGGTGCATGTAAACATCATATCGATTTCAAAAACACAGATAAGTCTTTATCCCAATTTTGAGAAGCCTGAATATGCTAGGTGGAGTACTCTGAAAGAAACAGACCAGGGGTGTCCACACTTTTTCGCCTTGCGAGCTACTTTTCAAATGACCAAATCAAAATGATCGACCTACACTAAAAATACCACACACACAAAATATATGTATGAATGAGTGTCGTAGTTTTTATGAACAGTCTGAAAGTGCCCCTCCACATTTCGCTTCTTCGGAATAGTGATGGTAGATTGGTAGATCAAGCAAACGCATTTCGAATATAACGTCACGAAAAAAAAGCCCCCCCATTCCGCATGGAATGTTTTCGGTACGTTTTCGGTTTCTTACTTGATTTGGCTCCCCCACTCATTTTATACCCATTAGTAGAAATTAATTGGAAGGCTGACAAGGTAGTTCTCTCACTTGAGTTTTGCAGTAGCTCGTGCGGTTGACTGTGCATGTTTGGTGACTTGTGTGTCAGAAAAGACAAGATCTCAAACTGGCTGCCCTGCATGTCAATCAAGTAGCAAATGCTATAGGGAGGATGGATGATAGGCTATATATGAATGACTGTCACTTTCGGCTTTTCCCATTAGGGGTTGCCACAGCAAATCATCACACTGACCATTCGCATGTTAACATTTGGCACGTTTTTTTACGCCAGATACATCTAATTTATATTTGAATGGCACGCGAACTACCAACACTACCTTTGCGATCAACTGGTGTTTGAAGGCCATGATATGCTAACCCCTGTACATAGGAATAAAGCTTACCTCTCACACTAAGGTGGCATATTTGAAACATATTAAAGCTCCAAACACTGCTTGAGGTTGTATGACGGAGACATTCACTCAGTAATTGATTACCATGAACCTGCAAACAGAATTCCCTGCAGACCTCCCTCTTTCATGCTATTAATTCAGGATAAGCCCCCACACC